CTGTTATAATGTATGTCACTGGGCTGGTTCAGATGCTTGAAATTCCCCCATGGAAAATGGCCTTGAATGTAGAGAAGAGGTAGCACCTGCCTTATTCCACCCTGGGTGCACATACCACTAGCCACATGAGCAAAGCAGTGTGTTTTCCAGCTGCAGTGCTTGCATCTATTATCCTCAGGAAGCACTGTAAATCGTAGCTGTACCAGAACGGATGCTAACTTCCTTAATGCAGCTGTGCCTATGTGGGCATTTCACATGGAGGAATTTCAAGCATCTGAACCAGTCCCTGTGTGACTTTCCAGTGGATGCAAGTCCTTAAGCTACAACCCTGAAGGCTATTTATGTGCATGCAGTCCATGAGACTCTTGAGAGTCCCATGGACTGCAAGAAGATCAAACCTATCCATTCTTAAGGAAATCAGCCCTGAGTGCTCACTAGAAGGACAGCTTAGGCTCCAATCCTTTGGCCACCTCATGAGAAGAGAAGACCCCCTGGAAAAGACCCTGATGTTGGGAAAGACTGAGGGCACAAGGAGAAGGGGACGACAGAGGATGAGATGGCTGCATACTGTTCTTGAAGCTACCAGCATGAGTTTGACCAAACTGCAGGAGGCAGTGGAAGACAGGAGTGCCTGGTGTGCTCTGGTCCATGGGGTCACGAAGAGTCGGACACGACTAAACAACAACAACAACAACAACATGTCCTGCTTGGGTTAAGTTCTTTGAGACGGCACAACTGCTTTGTAAAAAGAGAGGCTCAGTACCTTTTTTGCAAGAGATCTTTCAGAGCGATAGTGATAAGCACAACTGTGCAACGAAATGTGTTGAGATGGTATCTGCAGATAGAAGCTTTTACTGGTTTGTGACAAGCCACATCCAGCTCTTGGATGGAGCCACGAATAGATGCATCCAGACCATGCCCTCTCATGGGACCAGTGAGCCAAACCACCTTGTATTTTGTGTGGTATCTGGTCAGTCCTTCAGGGAACCCACTAAGCCCCAGCATGTGAATGACGTCTCTGCCCCTAGTGATGGTTCAGAGAGGCCACATTTGGCAGCAGTGTCCATGATCTCCGTACTACACTCAATGCACCTTCTTGCCATTTCCCATAATATGGGGCAGTGTAGTAAATTAGACAGGCCATGTAGTCCTAACAATATATATTCAGTTTTGTTGCTTAAGGTTACTGTTTTATATATACCGACTTGTCCAATATCAGCTAAAAAGCTACAGGACTGAACAGAGATCTGAATCTGAGTCTCCTTCAGCTAAGATCAGCCTGTTATCCACAGAAATCAGTGAATACCATTTCACTGAGCCAGCCTCTGTATGTAAATTCTGCTTGTGAAAATGTCTAGGTTGAAAAGATGAAACAAAAATGTGCCTTGTGGAGAAGGTGAGGAGTTGGGGCAACACCTGGGATCTTGGAAGTAAGTGTGCTGGAAAAGAAGGCAAAACAAGGGTGTGCTCTTCCCTAAGGAGGAAGCAAGGTGATTCATATCAAGCATCTAAAATTGCTCATGCAACTGGCATGTTATTTGCCTAGTTTGGAATGCTGAATTATCATCTGTCATACAATGGGTATACAGACGAGACCAGTCAGTTAAGTAAAGCTGTCAGATTAAGGAACTGTAATGGCATTATAATCATTTTGTGTGCAAATTACTTGAGTAGCTGCTCCTTGGGCTTATAATTCATGCACAAAACACTGGCCCAGTACATTCAGCCTTCTGTGCACAACATGGTTAGTTATTTGTTGCAGTTAAGTTTGTTGGCTGCTTGTGTGTGACTGTCTTGAGACATTGAAGTGCTCTTTGGTTATTGAATCTGTATTGAACTGTTTGGGTCTGTTTGTCCACGTAATAACTCACGTAGAGGAGCAGGATTAAAGGGAACAATTTGTCCAGTGGATCCCATTGCCATCCACAAAACAGGGATGCTTCAGGTGACCTGCTTATTCAGGCATCCTGAATTGCTTACACAAAGTTTACAGTGTGTACATGGCTAAAATGAAGGAAAGCCTTCTTCCCTCTAAACCTGTCTGATTAAAATGGTTATGAAGCTGATGACTGGGGACTAGGCATGGATCAGTCCCAAATCACTTTGTGCCATTTCTGTGTGTATGTGTTTTAAAGTCTGCTTCATTCTGTTGATACAGTAAAGTGTGGACTTAAAAAGCAACAACCCTGCAATGTATAAACTTAGCTGTTTGCTCAGTGAAGTGGTCTACATAAAACTTTTGTTGTTAAAAACAGATAGTAGCCTCCTGGAGCAGCTACAACAGTACAGCTCAAAAATGGGACTGTAAATGCCCCTGGGACCAATTGTGTGTGATGTGTTGTTTCTCTCTGGGATATTGTGTTGAGGGGGAAGCCATGCTTTTCCGCCCCTGGATCCGCAGGGACAGCTATATTCCATCCCACCCTGTACAATCTCCCTGAGAGCAGCAGCACATGACATTGTTCTTAAGGCATTCTTAGCCCTTGTTTTCAAACCTCACAGCAGGAACCGAACCCTGTAGCTGTTTTTAAAGGGGGGGATTTTCAACAAAGCCCTTAGACCACCTCGTAGTATTCATTATGGGTCTTGGATTCCAAAGAAAACCATGATCCAACCCATGCAGAAATCCAGGAGGTGCTGTTTTTGGATTGTAAGCATCCTTAAGGGCCTTTCAAGGTGGAGAGTCGGGTTTTGAATATGTCAAATAATATTTCTGAATTGGGAACACCTGTTGAAGCTAAGCGGGTGCAAATCTGGTCAGTGCTTAGGTGGCCCCTGTAAACTGCCTTGAGGCAGCAATTCTATGCCCACTTACCAGAGAGTAAGCCCCACTGAATACTTACAGGACTTGCTTCCAAGTAAATATGCATAGGATTGGGTTGCATGTCTTCTAAGGAGCCACAGGCTATAAATACGACAATGAAAGTTTAGCAGTGGAAAGAAAAGGTCTGCTGAGTATCAGCATCATGGGAAAACTGTGAGTGTTTGATCTAATATTCTAAACATGAAGGGTCAGTGTCTACAGAAATAGATTCCCTCCCTTCCCCCACCCCTGACCTCTTGCCTTTGTGGGCAGGATTCCACCGAAAGCACATCTGATGATGGTTTGGGATATGGCAGCATAATAATACTATCCAATTACAAACAATTCTGCCTAAAGGCAAATATTCCCATCTTATGGGATCGGACTGTGATTCCCATGAAGCAAACATATCAGGCTACTTATGCTGCATAAAGTTAATTTATCTAGGTCAGACTTTTAAAAATTGATGCTTACCAGAGGCCGTCTACCAATTGTGTCTTATATGTGTTCTTCCTTCAGAAGACGACTAGTGTAGGTTTTGTGGCCTTAAAATTTAGTGTAGGGCAACACTAAAGTCATTTAACTTGTAGCTTAAAGGAAAATTTGCAGCAAAATTTCCCCCTTCTACTCCCTCCCACCCCAGGGCAAGCATTTGTTACTGTACTTCATGGGGAACACTGAAAAACTCCCAGGTTATTGTGGGTCATTTCAACAAACACTGAAAAAGGAAGCCATACTTCCTTTTGGAGGGGCTTCTTATGCAGTGCTGAACAAGGGAGTTTGGGGGCTGTAAGAAACATGCATAGAATCTGAGAAACTGTACTTCCTAGAGTTTGGATTCAAAGGGTCTTTTTTTCTTTCTTTTTTGGTTAGGATCCTTTCCTGGTTTAAGGCACACTGTGAAATGGGAGGGGAGATAATAAGGCTTCCGCCCTATACTCACTTGCCTGGGAGTAAGCCTGACTGAGCTCAGTGGGACTTGCTATTTATCAGATTGCCCTGGGAGTGGAGGGAGCAACCCGTGATGTAACTGTAGCAGGCGGAGCTTAATTTGGACCTGGACTGAGGCTCACTTGGACTCAGCCTTAGAATGTGTTTTGAAATCCTGCAACATGTAAATTAATGACAAGTACATTGGAGGCTGCATTCAGACGGAACTTTGTTTCATTTTCACAATGCTTCCTTAGCTGATAATTTCCACGTTTTAAGTGATCTTTCACACGATGTAAAAGCCACTTCTGGCAAACTAGCGGAATCTAGTGGAAGTTCAGCACCTATGTCTGTGTTAATTTGCTTCCAGAAGAAATTTGTTTGCAACCCCATTAACTCCAAAAGTCGTTGGAGCTTTGCCTTGTAATTTCATGTGATGACCTTTCAGATGGTATTCCAGCATACCGTTCTTTCCCAGCATTTAAAATTTGGAACAACACAGTGGTGTATTAGTCTAACAGCCACAGCTCCATAGCACAACAGGCAATTCAGTGTAAAATGAACATTAGAATCCTGGATAGAAGCCCTAGCCCTATAGTTAGGAGAATCAGTTCAATAATTCCCATGTCTGAATGCACCCTTAGTCAAGCAGCTCTTGAACACTGGCCATTGCTGTATCTTGCAAGTAAGCTGGAAGCTTCCCTTCTCTATCCAGGACTTAAGTACTTGTAGTGAAACCACTTGTCCTAGATACCCTAGCTTTAAATCTCTATAGTATTAATGGAACAGACAGATGAGTAGATTTATGAGGTTCTTGCTATGGTCTCAAAGAGCATGTATTTTAACTGTCTTCAAACAAACGCACGGATATGTATAAGGCCACTTCTTGAATGACTGTTGCATGTGGACTGGGCCTGCCTGCCATATGGCAGAGTGGGGCGGCTGCCTCAGGCAGCAGATGCTGAGTGGCACGGAAGTGTTGGAGGACGGAATCTGTGTGTGCCACGCAATCTTTGCTGTGCCCTGTGTGACATCCTGCTGCCCTCAGGTGTGGTGAAGGATGCTGTTCTGCCCCTGGCTTTGAAAACAAGTTTCAGCTGCTATCCTGGTCGTTATCTGCACATGGAATGGGAGGGGCAGTACTGTCTTGACCTTTGCCTCAGGTAGCAAAATGTCCTGCTACAGCCTTGTCTGTGGAATCGATATGCTTGTTTTCATGGACCCGGCAGCTTATTGATTTTTACTCTATCTTCTTTGCATTCACCAGGTGATTTTGAACAACAAGGGATTTGAGTGCACGAGAATTATTGGATTTCTTTTCTTGTTCTGAAACTTTTGTGGATGTGACATTTTTAGCTAGTGAGTATAATCTATATACAGTAGCCGATTCCCTCCACCCACCCTCCCTCCCTCCACCACCCTCTTAAAAGACAAAGATCCTATAGCATACACTTTGTAGGTCATAATGATGACCCTGTTCGGTTGCAACGATGGAAGTTTTGCTGGCCTGCTTCTGTAAGGTGTAATCAGTTTGCAACATACTGATTCTTTGCCACCCTCTAGCACACTGTCTAAAGGGACACGGGTGGCACTGTGGGTTAAACCACAGAGCCTAGGACTTGCCGATCAGAAGGTCGGTGGTTCGAATCCCCGTGACGGGGTGAGCTCCCGTTGCTCAGTCCCTGCTCCTGCCAACCTAGCAGTTTGAAAGCATGTCAAAGTGCAAGTAGATAAATAGGTATCACTCCGGCGGGAAGGTAAATGGCGTTTCCGTGCGCTGTTCTGGTTCGCCAGAAGTGGCTTAGTCATGCTGGCCACATGACCCGGAAGCTGTAGGCCGGCTCCCTCGGCCAATAAAGCGAGATGAGCGCCGCAACCCCAGAGTCGGTCATGACTGGACCTAATGCTCAGGGGTCCCTTTACCTTTAGCACACTGTCTTCCAGATGTTTTTGACTACAACTGCCATCAGCCTCAGCCAGCACACTTGTAGCCCAGAATTATCAACTGTTAGGGGACCAGGTTGGCAAGTGCTGCTGTAGCACAGAAGAAGAAGATGAAGAAATGGCTTTGCAAACAGGGAGATATATTGACTTGTGCTTTCTCCTGTTGCCTCTGACCAGTTCTTGGGTTGGAATGTGTCTGGCCGCTCATGGAAGTCTGTGTCCCTGAAAGGCTGCTCACCAGCCTGTTGAGGTAAGCCCTTCTGCCCTCCCAGCTGTGCTGTGGATTGGTGAGGAAGTGGCAGAGGCAGTAACAAAGATACCAGGTTTGTGGTAAATAGATGTAAAGAAGAAAGAAGTGAGTCACAACTTGGACCAGCTCAGTGTTTCCGCATTACAGCCAGTATTCTATTCACTAGTGGATTTCTTGTCCACCTTCCCTTGGTTTTTTTTGCATATAAAAACCTACTTCACATGAACTGCTAGCATGCCAGGAAGAAGGGTAATTTATAGCTCTTCTCTCTGATATGCTTGTGTTATTCTACATGCTAAAGGATGCCTTTTTACACATGGGGAAGCATCTAACAATTGTCCATCAGTTGGCTAGCCAGTTCCAATGTGCTCTTTTGGCCTATTAATTTTCCATTAGCTCTTGGTTACTTACCATTAGGAGAGGTTCTGAGCACAATGACAAGATATTGCCTTATTCTTCTCCACTGCAGCTGTGGAGTTTGAAGTTTCAAATTGGATGGATCATGTGTGTTGGCAATGATGGGTCTCAAAATATACAGATAATCAAGCCACTAGAGGCAGCAGCCTTCCCCAATGCGATGCCCCTAGACTATAACTCCCATTATCCTTTGCCACTGGCCATACTGGTTGTAGTTAGCAGTATCTGGTGGGCACCAGTCTGGGAAGGCTTGTGTTACAAGGGTATCTCTTGAAGCTAATAGGTTATGTGAGATCTGTAGCCTGAGAAGAATATTAAGACGAACATGACTGAAGGTCTTGTGTGACAGGCCAAAAACTGCATTGTGTGGATCACAATTGGAGACTGTTTTGCCCTTTGTATGTTGTACTGCCCTGCTTTCTCATTTCCTACCAAACTGTGTGTATTCAGGACATTGTTCTTATGAGAGGAAGTGTTTCCACAACATTGGCATTTCTATGATGTGCTGATTTGCTTTCTTCGGTTTTCAGTGCTGTTATTTACGCCTTCCTCCAGTTTTTTAACATGCCCCCTTGAGACTTCTAAAAGACCCCAGAAGTAATTTTGAGAGAACAATTAATAGATTCCAGAAAGTGTTCTTTTTAATATGAGAAAGGGGTGGGGTGGGGGAGAGAGAGCCTGATAACCATCTAATTTTTAGCTGTATCCTTTTTTTCATAATTTCCTGCATTATAAAATCTTTGGACGGAAGGGCTGGGAAGTAACTGGAGATCTTTTATTCAGTCCAACGCTTTGAAGAATCCTGACTTACTCCACAGACAATCATAACTTACGGGTTTTCCCATATCAACTAGACTCTGGTTGCTGGGGTATAATGTGCTATATAATTGGAAGGAATAAGTGAACAGAATTCACCTTGCTGTAAATATTTGTAGACAAGCAAAGCCTAGCTAGGATGGCATGATCTCTCTGTCAAACCGGCCTCACAGAGTTCTTGTTGAGGATAAAAAGCAACTCAGGGTGATAACAGGCACGGAGATAATTTTGAAATCCTTGGAGAAAAGGTAGGATATAAATGTAATAAATACTGGTAATGTGATGACCAGTACAGTGGTACCTCGGGTTAAGTACTTAATTCGTTCCGGAGGTCCGTACTTAACCTGAAACTGTTCTTAACCTGAAGCACCACTTTAGCCAATGGGGCCTCCTGTTGCTGCTGTACCGCCGGAGCACGATTTCTGTTCTCATCCTGAAGCAAAGTTCTTAACCCGAAGTACTATTTCCGGGTTAGCGGAGTCTGTAACCTGAAGCGTATGTAACGTGAAGCGTATGTAACCCGAGGTACCACTGTAACTAACTAGGCATAATGGGCAGGAATGAATATACCCCTCATTTTCTACATCTACAATGAACTTCACAAGCTACAGATCACTTGGAACTAAATGAGAGGCATATGTGCTTATTAAACATGCAATTGCTCTTCTGTCAAAACAACAAGCATACTAGGGATGGAATGAAATATTTCGCCTTCCACATGCCACTGCTTTTAAGATGGTTCCCCCCCGCCCAGCTTGATCAAAAATCAAAAGTGAGCATGGTCCAGCAAAGGGGTGTGGGGATGTCTTAAAGCAGAGGAGCATTGGGTGTGTGTGTGACCCCAGGTGTTATTCAGATCTCAATTGTTCTGATTAGTGTTAATAGTCTGCATAGTCTTAAAAGTTCCTGTTTTATAACTGAACCAGCAAGCACACATTTAATAAACATATGGAGGTCAGTTTGATCCTTTAATACCATATACAGTGGTGCCTCGCAAGACGAAAAGAATCCGTTCCGCGATTCTTTTCGTCTAGCGGTTTTTTCGTCTTGAGAAGCAAGCCCATTGACAGCTTAGCGGATTAGCGCTACAGCGGTCTAGCGGCTTTTCGCGATCAGCTGTTAAGCGGGTTATCAGCGGAACAGCTGATAGGCGGCTTAGCGGCTTAGGAAAAGGGGGGGGGGAGCGAAAAAACCCCACGGGGACGCACAAGATTTTTTCGTCTTGCGAAGCAACCCCATAGGGAAATTCGTTTTGCGAAGCGCCTCCAAAACGGAAAACCCTTTCGTCTAACGGGTTTTCCTTCTTGCGAGGCGTTCGTCTTGCGGGGCACCACTGTATTTGCATCATCATCACCATCAGTGCTTAAATGTAAAGATTTCCATCAAATCGCATGATATATTTATAAAAGGTCACATTTAAGATATTCTTTTGCCTTCTGGTGTAACATGAGGTTTCAAAGCCTAAAGCTAACATGCTCATCAGAACCGATATGATACTTTTCGCCAGAACTGCTCCACTTTTGCCCAGGTGGCACTGAGCACAATCTGATCATGAAGGTAGCAACCCACAGACTCTAGTCTGTTCCAAGCAGAATGTACTGTTTTCAGCAATGCAGTATAATGATTAAGAAAGCTGTGAGCCAGGAAGTCCCAAATGCAAATCTTGCTGCTGCCATAATCACGCTTGCCTAGGTCAGGAATGGGGAACATGCTGCCCTTCAGATGTGGTTGGACGGCAGTTCCCATCTGTCCCTGACAGTATGGTCAGTGGTCAGGGCAGAATAGCCATGTTATTCTTGGCCTCAGTCCATTTCATATGTCATATGGGTAGAAATTGCATAGCTTCAATGGCCTATTTACTACAAAATGTGGGGGAGCATGGCATGATATTGGCTATGATACCAAGCTGAACTTCAAAGAGGCTTGGAAAGTGGTGAGGCAACTTGCTGCTTTCATAGTCTGGGAGAGTCCCTGCCTCTCCTTCAGGCTGAGGACAAGGATGGGGAAATCCCCTAGCCTCACACTGACTTTGGAAGGGCTTAAATGGCTGCCAGATGCCTTGCACTTTCACAGCTTCTTGGAGATTCCTTGCAAGATTTGGGGGATTCCCTGTTCTACTCTCAAGCCCAGGGTGGTTTCTGAGCCTTTCCAAAACACCCAGGCTTCTGGTAAGTGTGGATTGCCTTACTGTAACAGGGCAATCCGACCTCTCGGACCAAGTGGGCTGCAAAAATACTTCAACACAGAACCCATGGGCCACACACTGAATTAAATTAAGGTGTTCTCTCTCTCCCCCCCCCCAAGTACACTACAGGGCAGTGTGGCCTTTAGCCCCCTCCCCAGTCTCTCATTCGCCCATCTGTGGTCCTCCAGATGCAGAGGTATTTGGACAGGGACTCCCCATCATGGAGGCAGTAATGCTCCTGAATACCAGTTGGGGGAAACCACAGGAGGGGTGCTCTTGTGCTCCAGTCTTGCTTGTGGGTTTCCCACAGGCCTCTGGGTGACCACTGTGAGAACAGGATGCTGGACTAGATGGGCCATTGGCCTGATCCAGCAGGCAGCTTCTTATGTTCTTATACATTTTTAGCAAGATGGCACATGAATCTGTGAACTCCTGGATACAAAGATAGCAATGATGGCCTCCTTTGAAGGGCTCGTATAACAGTTGCTGAGAACATATATGTGGAGTTGTGGAGTGCTTTGAATGCTGTAAAAGTGCTGTTATTCTTAACACATGGCCCTCATTATGCACAACTCGCGTGCAGAGCTCGTGTGTTGAAAAGTGACTTGGACCATTTGTTTAGCCCTATCACAAGAGTCACTTTGCTTCTCCTCCATCCACCTTTGAGGTCCTTGTGTTGAGGATAGTGCCTGCAGCACAGAGCTTTCTCTATGTACGGAGGCTGCCTGTGTAATTGAGAACCCTGAT